ACACCTCAAATAGCACTCGCCCTTCGGATTTGTGCTATTTTGAGGTCAGTCAAAACCATGCTATTACCTATACTAATTAAGACTTATTTACAAAGTTTAGTAAAAACAAGAATATAATTTCAAAGGACAGATTTAAAAAAACACGCAAGGGTGTGATATACTGATATTTAAATAAAAGGTGATCAGATTTAGATTACAGGGTTAGATTAGGGTTAGGATTCAACATAACAATTTACTCATATACTATTAAATTGAAAGATCGAGCTCATGCTGGTATTTTAAATTTCAGTATAGAAGAAATACTATATAAAAGAAGGTCACCAGAGGATATAGTTTAATTAGCTAAATTAATTTCAGATAATAATTATTTTGACTTTGACAGTAAAATATGTCGGCAAAGGATGAGGACAGCTGTATAAAGTTGCGCCGCCTTTTATACCATGCCAATATATGTTTATGTCGAAATGTAAAATCAGCTAGAGAAAAGTAGTCTTAAGTACGTCTTAGGTGTGGTTTAGGTTTTTAGACAACATTTTTCGTTTGTTTACATGGAAAGGAATCACATTTGAAACTTCTGGGGTTTGTTAACTCATATCATGAAAATATTAAGTATACTTGCATGGAAAGGTCTTGGTAAATTATCATATTTGATAGTTACAGATGTTCTTTTTTTTTAAACAGACAGGTACAGTATATTCATCAATATTTAGATTTAGCCTCCTCCGCAGGCAACTGTGTAGTTCTGCAACGTTAGATTATGCGTCATATCAATGAATTTATCAGGAACGTAGGAAATTCAAGGAAATAGTACGAAATACGATATGATAAGCAAGACGAGTAGAGTAAAAAAGCATGGGGCGGGAAAATGAGGATGCTTGTGGATAATATTTAATTACTTAAACCAATCCGATCCCATAGATACACAATAATATAATAAAAGCCCAACAAACCTGTCCGTAGATACCAACACCTTTGCCATTGACGATAAAATCCCGCATTCCATGTCCAAAATTAAGCGTTATACCTCCGCTCTAAACGGGTTGATCAAAGAAATATACGTGTCACTATATGGAAGATACAGGCGCTAAATGTCACATATTTTAAGCAAAATGTGTCCAGACAGACTTGTAGATCTAGTCAACAGATTGTATAAAGGAACTCCAACAGCAGATAGAAACATTTCAGGTGAGTACATACGCAACATGATATGCATGCATGTGCTTGTTGGAATAATGTTGTATAGCAAGTTACTTTGTTGCTCTTACCCCATCCCCCCCTCCCCCAATGAGTATATAGGTACATGGACTTAATTTAGTTTAATTTAGTGTTATTTAGGTTTAAATATATTTACATATACTGTATATATAGTCTATGATGAATCGTGGGCCAACAAAGCGAGCTCCAATTGAAGCGGACAATGAACTTACAAATATATGTGAGAAAAACCACAAGATAAAAATATATAAAAATACAACCACATGAGTTACAATTTAGTTATTTACAAGTTATTATTATTTACAGGGTAGTTCATAGCTGTTCATATTGCTCACAAAATGAGCCTTAATCGCTTTCCTAAAACGTTCATACTTGTATCGTACGATGGCCGAGAAGGGCCATGACTGTAAACATTCGCTTTTTTTACCATTACACTCATTGTTTTTTTCCTTTAAAATTACACTCGCCGTTTTTTTCTTCAGAATTACACGCGACGTTTTTTCAATGCAATAATTACACGCGACGTTTTTTCAATGCAATAATTTATTTGCACGCGACGTTTTTTTCCAAAAATTACACTCGCCGTTTTTTTAGAGTTACTTAGTTAAACTGAGGGTTTCACTTCGGATGAAGATGGGAGCAATCATAAGGTTAGAGTGTTTCATGTAAATACAGTACAAAATTTCACTTTTCAGTCGGTTATGAATATAATGCATTGTTTTCTTTTGTGTTTTCCAAACAAAACATTCTTTGTGTATTTCAGCGTTGCTATATATCCCAGTGCCACATGGAAGAAGTTATTTGGCTGACCTCAGAATGACATTTCGTCAAACCTTTTTCGGTTAGGTTAGGTTAGGGACAAGATTAGTGTTAGAGTTGGTGTCAGGGCCGTACCCAGGATTTTTTCACTAGGGGGCAGTAGTCCTATATGCCGAAAAAGTCCCAAATATCCAAAAAATAATTAATATGACATTCTAAAAATCGTACATATAGTTTTCTCTGGGGGACAGTTGCCCCTGACACCCCCCTCCACACCCCCCGCTGTGTACGGCACTGGTTGGTGTTTGGAATAGGATTAGTGTTAGTAAAACCGTTGCTATGTTACGTTTTGTCACTCTGAGGCCAGCGAAATAACCTCTTCATCACATATTGCCGTAACACATGTACAACCGCCATTTCTTGTTGATCATGATTTTGTTGTATCACTGCAGGCGCATATACGATATGGCAAGACACATACGTTTTATATATGATGAAGTGCAACAACGAAAATAACTATATGACCCTGGCAAAACACACAAAGCTTAATTTGTTTATATAGTTTGGAAAACACAAAAGAAAACAATGCATTATATTCATAACCGACTGAAAAGTGTAATTTTGTACTGTATTTACATGATTTTTTGTTTTGATGAAACACACTAACCTTATGATAGCTCCCATCTTCATCCGAAATGAAACCCTCAGTTTAAAACGTAACTCTAAAGAAACGGCGAGTGTAATTTTTGGAAAAGACGTCGCGTGTAATTATTGAATATTGCATTGAAAAAACGCCGCGTGTAATTATTGCATTGAAAAAACGTCGCGTGTAATTCTGAAGAAAAAAGCGGCGAGTGTAATTTTGAGGGGAAAAAACGTAATGGTAAAAAAGTGTACTGGTAAAAAAAAAAGTGTAATGGTAAAAAAGTGTACTGGTAAAAAAAAAAGGCGAGTGTTTACAGTCATGGCCCTTCCCGGCCATCGTAGTATCGGGGTAATTAAATACGGTAATCACAATTTAATTTTTTAATAAGTAATCAAAATCTAATTTTGATAAAACATCAGTCAAGGACTTTGTATATGCAAACTTCTGACTGAAAAGTGAAATCCTGGTAATATATTATTCCACGCGTCTACTATATAAGGTATATTCAATGAGAAATAGTTTTGCAATATAAACTCGAACGGTCCGGCCTTGCCGGTAGTATAGGAAAACAAAAAAACTGCGGAGGTAGAACCTGCATCAGGGCATTTCGAGCGAAGGCCCTTTGTCGGGAAGTTAGGAACCATGAAAGGCCTTGAAGTTTTATTGGTTTTTTTTCAGGTACTCGAATCCCTATCTATCCACAGTTATAGTTTCTGGATAACATATCATAACTAGTCATTTAATTATGCGGTATTAATACAGTAGTTCCCCACAAATTTGTGTTATTCCAAATTTTATGTAAGTATTTAGTTGCATTACAATGCTTGTGTACCCTGAAGCGTATTGGATATATACAATCAACAGAAACTTACTGGAGTATTAACAGCTCTCTTCACTCTTTCATCGGACACGGTTTCACGAAGAACGTTACTGGCACCAAAATGCCCTGTAAGAACCAGCACGAAGCCAAACAACACGAAACTGACGGACAACATATTGTGAACCTTCTTCTGTGACAATTTAACTCAAATGATATATTTATAACTTTCCGTGTAACTATATTTATATTGTTCGGCAGGGGAAATAAGACACAGGGGAAATAACTAGACTAAACAGGAGAACAACCGTTGATTGCGTTTATGTAATTAACTTTGCCGCATGACAATATAGGTTCAATATTAAGTGACATGTGCATGCATGTATAGTGTAAGTATAGCTGTTTAAATTATTAAGCAGGGGAAATAAGGCAGGGGAAATTAAGGTTATAAAGAAAAACAATCAATATTTGCCCGCTCGAGATGACAATGAAGTTATTTATAAAATTATTATAGTGTGAAGGGGAAAGAGAAGGACACTTATAGTCTTGTCTTTATATGTGAGATAGATAGTTCATTGACACATATCGCATTACTGAGAATGAATTTGAATTTATGAATTTATTAAATCAGTTATCATTTTTACAGGGACAACACGAGAAAGAAACAGGGCTAAGCCCCAATTGACATCAAACTCCTGATAACCAAAAAACATGATAAAATATTTCATGAATTAGTTAGGTATATTACAATATTTAGTCTAAAATTAGTTATAAGTACGCCTTTCGTCAGGAAGAGTACAAGAATCAAGTTTCATTATGTATATAATATACAGCCAGAAATCTCACAGGCCTGTCGCAAGCTGTTGATTTTACCGGCTTTGAGATATCTTTTTAAAAGTTACTAAGTTGGTTGAACGTTTGATATTCAGTGGTAGTGAGTTCGAAACGACACATTTTAGGTAATTTTGAGTTGCTCGCTTAATTAATTAGGCTATGTCTTGTAATTTAGGGAGGAACAATAATAATAATAATAATAATTTAATAAAACGCTTTGCAGTTACAAAACTGAATTACGCGCTTAAACTAGAGATGACAATGAGCTTTTAGAAATATTACAAATATAAAGTTATCTATTAACAAGATTAAATAAAAAGTTTAAAAAAAGAAAAACCTACAATGACTAAGAAACATCAATAATATTTGCATGTAATAAACTTAGAGAAACGTTCTGTACGTGCCCTTACTCTATTTAGTCCCTCGTGTCTTAAATTATAACTATGATTACGTTCATTATAAATGTTATGCCTCAAAATGTTAGCAATAGCAAAGATTAGATATACGATAAAGATGTGCCACTCTGCGAAAATTATGTCCGAGATTTTTTTATAGACGTCATTTTGCCAGTAAGTGTCAAATCCAACGCCATCAGTCTCTAAATAGTAAAATCCAACGCCATCAGTCTCGCCGCCATTTTGGCAGTAAGTGTTATACACACGTCATCTCGCGTGATCACTCGTGATCAGCACGGAAAATTACGGACACGCAAACATTAGGGAAATACGTCGAGTGGCACATCTTTATCGTATCTAATCTTTGGCAATAGGGTTATTTGGTTGATCGTCAGACTTCATTTTCTCAACAAACATCTGGCAAGCATTTGATCGGCGACTTGCTAAAGTTTCTAGACCGGACCGCGTCAAAGCATCTTCGTAAGCAAGAGAGGGAAGAATTATTCGCAATGCTCGTTTTTGAACAGACTCGATTAAATTTGTTAAATTTTGGGTTAAGTCCGACCACACAGATGATGCATATTCAATACAAGACCTAACCAAAGAGCAATAAATTTTAAGCAGATCCTGCTGAGTTAAACCAGC